CCAAGGCAATTAGTAACCCATTTTGCAGAGCTCTACCCTCTGTTTTGCAACATCGTCTGGGGCGCAATTCATTTCACAGACGTTCTTTCCAGCCATCCTATTGGAGGTCGACCGCTGGAAAGGAGAAGGGTCGTCTGGAAGATCCTATTTTCTTGTTTTTAGACAAAGCAAGTGGCACGCCTAACATCCAACTCACGTGGTAAAGGCCGGCTGAGGATTTTTGAGGAAACACAACCGATTGAACCAACATAGCCGGTTCGGGTTGAAAATAGTGTTTGCAACTTTTCCCATTTCTTAATCTATTACCCGTACTTATATAATTACTATTATTACTTTAATAATGATTTAATTTACTTAAAATATTAATTATATTATTCAGTTAAAGATGACAGATGATCGTCGTTGGATGTATAGACGACAAGGTCCTCGTGGAGATTATGATGGTGAATTCTTTAATGGATTACAACAATTTTTTGATTTCGTATATAGTCGTCCCGGTGTCCACCCGAATGCCGAAATTCGCTACCCCTGTAGTAAATGTGGAAATTTACCTCACCACAATAGGGCAATTGTAACAGACCATCTCTTAAGATATGGTTTCATGGATGCATATTCTGTGTGGTGGGCACATGGTGAAACTTTAAGTAACAATGTTGATCCATGGTTTGCCGCAAGTGATGTGGCATCCTCAAGTAATATTGAGGAACATGGTAATGCTGAGGATGATTTCCATCACATGGTTTATGATGCATTCTGTCCATCTGAGAATGATCGTCATAGAAATGAAACAGAGATTGCATCTGAAAATGTTGAAGATGTGCCAAATAATAATGCACAATCTTTTTATGACTTGTTGTGTGCTTCAACCATCCCGCTTGGACCAGCATCTAACAACCAAACATTGCTTAGTTGGTTATCATATATGCTGCACACCAAAGCCAAAAACCACATAAGTGGTGTTGGTTACAATGAGATCATTCATGGCTGTAGGGAATTGTTAAGTCTGGAAGATCAGCAAAAAGTACCGTCAAATTTTTATGAAGCAAAGAAATTCATGAAAAGCCTAGGTTTAGGCTATGTCAAAATTGATGCATGTGTCAACAACTACTTTCTGTATTATGGTGATGAGGCTAAGTCACTTACTGCTTGTCCAGTTTGTGGTGAACTTAGGTATAAAAGACGCAACTCGGCTCAAACTGGAAAAAAGGATAGGTTGAGGAATTCTTTGTGGTATCTACCCATTATTCCACGCCTACAGAGGCTGTACATGTCTCGTAAAACCGCTGAGCATATGACATGGCACCTTAAATGTCGTGTTGACTCAGAGATTCTCATTCATCCAGCTCAGTCTAATGCTTGGAAGCACTTTGATGCTGTTCATCCTTCATTTGCAGCTGATCCGCGAAATGTTTGGATTGGTCTTGCAACAGACGGGTTTAACCCATGGGGTCACTCTTCGAGGTCATATTCCTGTTGGCCTGTTTTCATTGTTGTTTACAATCTTCCTCCGGAGATGTGCATGCGACCTGAATTTACATTCCTAACACTTATTATTTCTGGGCCAAAGAGTCCAGGAAAAAAACATTGATGTTTTCCTCCGTCCACTTATTGATGACTTGAAACGGTTATGGTCGTCAGGGGTAGAAACATTTAACAGCTTCCGTAAACAGAACTTCACAATGCGAGCCATGCTTATGTGGACCATAACAGATTTCCCCGGCTATGGTATGGTTTCTGGATGGAGCACGCATGGCCGTCTGTCTTGTCCATATTGCATGGAAATGACTCGTGCTTTTTACTTGCAAAATGGTCACAAGATCTCATTCTTTGATTGTCATCGACAGTTTCTTCCTGCATCACACTCGTACAGAATGGATACAACTCATTTCCTAAAGGGCCGCTTTGAATTTGGCCCCGCTCCTCCACGATTAGATGGTCATTCTGTTCGACTTCAAGTTGCCACACTACCTGATGTTTTATTTGGAAATCCATCAGTAAACCAAACTATTTTCGGGTTCGGTGAAACACACAATTGGGTGAAACGGAGTATCTTCTGGGAACTCCCATACTGGGAGGATAACCTGATCAGACACAATCTTGATGTCATGCACTGTGAGAAGAATTTCTTTGACAACATAATACACACAGTCATGGATGACTCATCCTCAAAAGATAATGTTAAGTCAAGAATGGACTTACCATTGTACTGTGATAGGGAAGAACTACACTTGTACTATGACTGTTCTGGGTCGCTTTGCAAGCCAAATGCAAGTTATGCACTTAACACGGATAAAAAAAGATGTCTATGTACGTGGCTCAAACATGTGCGATTTCCAGATGGTTTTGCATCTAACATCACACGTTGTGTGAACTTAGCTGAGTTACGCTTAGTTGGACTGAAGAGTCACGATTGCCACATGTTCATGCAGCGCCTCATTCCAATTGCTTTCCGTGGCTTGTTGCCGGATTCTATATGGGGTCCATTAACAGAAGTAAGTAATTTTTTCCGTGCACTGTATTTCCCAAATGTCAACATAAAAGACATGGCAGTTTGGGAAACAAAGATAGTTGAAATAATATGTAAGTTGGAAAGAATCTTCCCGCCATCATTTTTTGATTGTATGGAGCACCTAGCAATCCATCTTCCTTTCGAGGCGCGGATTGGTGGGCCTGTACAATTTCGATGGATGTACCCATTTGAACGGTAATGTAAACAAGTTCACAATAGTTTCATGTACAACAGAATATATAACAATTTGTTATGCTCATAGCTTATTTCAAATTTTACAGACAAATCCACAAACTTAAACAAACAATAGGGAACAAGAATCATGTTGAGGCATCAATTGTCGAAGCATACATTCTCAATGAAATAACAAATTTTTGCTCCCGATATTTTGGTGCGGATATTGAAACAAGTTGGAGTAAGCCCCCAAGGAACTTTGCAGCAGTTCCACTTTATAGGAACACAGAATTCTCAATATTTGCATGCCCTGGTCATCCAATGGATTCACATTCACAGACACGCTGTCTAACTACTCAAGAGATGAAGGCGGCTGAACTTTATGTCCTACTAAACTGTAGGGAAGTTGATGCGTTTCTTAGGTGAGATATGACAAACTAAACTATTTTTTATTAAATTTTTAGAGAAAGCTTGCTGGATTATAGCAAGCTAGTTCAACATTCCATTTGTGGTCACACCTAATTGTTTCGATATTTCAGCATCTTTGATCGAGAAGTTGGTGTATATATGACCCCTTCTGATCCATACAAAGCACGCAACAGAAGTTTTGTTACGTGGTTCAAAGATAGGGTAAACAATATTCTTCATCGTGTTATATTGTTTCAAATATTATTATATACCTATATATATAATTAGGTAATATACTATATATTACCTAATTGAGTTTTTAACAAAAATACTATAAATTTGACTAATAACATAAACATATAAATTTGGTAGGTGTTAAATGGCCATCATGAAGGGAATGGGGTTTTGCAATACCTTGCACTGGGCCCATCATGGACAGTCAATGTCTACAGAGGTTATTATGTCAATGGTTTTAGATTTATGACACAAAAAGTCAGCAGTAAAAGACAAACATATAACTGTGGTGTATGTGTGAAAGGAACAACCATATCTGATAATGCCGAGACTGATTATTATGGCATCCTTAACGAAGTCATCGAACTATTGTATTATGGACCACATGCACAAATACAGACAATTGTCTTATTCAATTGTGATTGGTTCGATACACGGAGGGGAACACGCATTAACCAAGTTTACGACATTGTTGAGGTCAACCTACAGTATCGACTGTCGACCAGCGAGCCATTTTGCCTTGTGTGTCAATCAACGCAAGTGTATTACACTAGTTACCCATCAAATAATCAAGCAACTAACGGATGGTTCGCTGCATGCAAAATACGTGCTAGACATTTGATTGACACTGGTTCAACTTCACTTGATATAGAAGAAATATTCCAGGATGAGGAGCCACCATCCACACAATCATTAGAGCATAGTTCCAATTTGGCATCCACAGAATGTGTGGATTTGCATGCAGAAGGAGCAACAATGGTTGACTTAAATGGAAATGCAAATGATGATGTTGATGAAAATGCGAGTGAAGGAAATGATGGATATGAAACAAGAAGCGATGCTGGTGGCGATAGTAGCGAGACTGAATAGTCATTAAATAATTGAAAGTCATGTAAAGTAATAGTTTTAAATTTTGGTTGACATTAAAAAAATAAAAAAAATCTTGTGTATGAGACTTCCTAATTAACAAATATACTTATGAATGACTAATGACTGTTTCTTCATTGTTTGTTTTATTGACATTATTTATGATGTTGTAAATGCTTATAAAAAGAAAATTTATAAACTGGACATGTATTTATTTGGTGATAGGAGTACTTATCTTCTTTATGTGACCAGATGTTTTGCAGGATGTCAGGCGAGCCCATTAACTCCGCGCGGAGTCGCAGCACATCAGGGAGACAAGGACGTCACGATGCTGTAGATCTTGCACGTGATGTTACCCCAGTAATGAACGCGGGGCATACTCAGTCTATTAGTCCACAGGGTTCTATTCATGTAGCAGCCGGATCCTCTAGCCAGAAGCAAAAGGGAAGAGGTCCAAACAAATCGAAAAAGGCTGCAAGAAGACCAGATGAAAGACCATTTATACAAATTTCGCATAAAGGTACATTCTTGGATGTTAAAGTCCCCAGATTGATTACAACCCTATGGAAGAGGGTTATGATGGTGATTACTTTACGTATGAGTTATTCCCAGAACACAAAAGGGTGCAAGTGTGGGAGTTGTTTAAGGTAAGAATAATTATCATTTTTACATAATCCTTTCATCAGATATGTACTGTATGATTACTGATAACATAACAACATATATGATGAAGCAAAAATCAATATTGTTGGTGCATTGGTCGATACAGGTAATTTAATGATATGAGTACTGCATAGTAATTAACTATATACAAAAAAATGGAATATGGTGTATATATTGTGTTATCATACTATATGTTATTAAGTTACTTGGAAATAATTTGTTTGTATGTGATGACAGACACATTATCAATGGGCTGTAGAGGATGAGGATGCGGTCTGAAAGGCATTCCTAAGATCAATGAAGAAAGGATGGGATGATAATATGAAGGATGAGTGGGATAAGTGGCGTACAAACGGTGAGTATAGGCCGGTATGGGTGCCCGAGCACTTATGGCCTACATTATGCACTTATTGGGATTCTGATGAGTTTCACATTCTTAGCGAGAGGGGAAAGAAAAACCGAGCATCTGGGGAACGAGTTTCACACACTACAGGATCAGTGAGTTTTGATGTACATGAAGAACGGATGGTAAGTAAGAAAAGAAAGAAAAGTGTATATATATATAATAGATAATGAACACATTATATACCACTTTTTTGTATGATTATCGATTAACTATAAATATAAATAACTTGCTATTTGTCGTAATATGGTTGTGACACACAGACCAAAGCTGCTGGGGGGATAAGGCCAGCACACCAAGACTTATATAAGGAAACACACACTTTGCGAAAAGGTGTCCCCCAAGGGCAGGAAGCTCCATGGTGTGGCGACAAACATAAGGATCGTCATGTAAGTGTAAATATACTGGATAAAAAGTTTTCTATGAGTGACATAGATTGTTGGAAAAAGTGAATAAAAGGTATATTAATAAAGTTAGTGGTGTTAAGTACAATATAACAAAAATTTTGCATGAGTAAGTATTAGTATGTGTAGGTGTTCATGAAACAATTATGCTTGGGTATTGATTGTCGCTCCATGATTGCTACTTTGTTATCACTTGTTCGTAAATAATAATGGTTACATTTTTCGGAATTGTTATATGTATACTATGGCAAAAATTTGCAGTCATATATTGTAAGTTTTTTTTGCATTGCTTTTGTAGGATACGTATGTCAGTGAGTGCTCTGCTACTTATGGTTCGGACTCAGCATCATGGCCGCCATGGGACAATGATGCTTGGGCAGTTGCTGTTGGTGGATGCCATACCAATTTCATGCCGGGAATTGGTTCACATGTAAACCTAGAGGAACTTGGGTTTACATATAGAAAGCGACAACCAAAGGGGAATTCATATATGAGCTTAATGTTATCAGACATGGCTGAAAAACAAGTGAAAGATAGGGAGGCAATGCAAATGATGCGAGATGAAATAGAGCAAGTCAAAGAGCAACGAGAAGCAATGCAACGGATGATGGAAGAAATTGGGAGGATGCAGGCTTCTCTATCGTAGCAATTCACTGCTTTTAGTGCGTACGGAATGCGCCCGCATAGTGCTACCCCATCGTTGCCTCACACAAGGCAAGCATTTCCTCCTGTAGGGACATCATTCCCTACTGCTGGGCCATCGTTTCATGCTAGTGGGCCATCATTTCCTCATGCAATGCCAATGCAACTCCCGATAGAACCGGCATTCCCAATGGGGCAAATGGGGAGACAGTCAAAAGCTCCAAATACATCTTCACCCAATCCCCCGCAAGATGAGTTTGGTTATCAGCCGAGATTTGATACAGATTACCAGGGTCCTTTTGGGCCCGAATGATCAGTGTACATGAGGTTGCGAACTCAAAACATGGCATGTTCTTGCTACTTGAGGAAAATATTTTTATTTTTTGGATGGACAATTTGAACTTGTTAGGACATGAGTGTATATGTCAGTTGGAATTGAATGGTTTGTGGTAACATTAACTAAATTATTGTGACTTGCAAGTTTAGAATATGCAAATGGTCATGTTAAATGTTGCATGTGGTACTTATATACTTATCTTTTAATTTATGATTATGACATGAGGAATTATATAAGTAGTACACATTCGTAATAATGTGATAAATCCAAAAATTATGATATAATAAATGACAATATATGTAACGTGCTATGGTAAAATCAAAGTGTAATAAGAAAAAGTACAAAAGTTGGGGCATGTTAAAGAGGTTTGAGCATTTGCTGTATGTTAGAGTCGACTATATGCATCAAGAATCGACTGTCAAGCCTTCAAGAGTCGACTATATGGGAGCAACATTCGACTCCAAAATTCCAGAGAGGTTGGAGCACCATGTCGCAGGTTAGAGTCGACTCTATACATGAAGAATCGACTCTAAATCCTCCTAGAGTCGACTATATATGACCAACATTCGACTCCCAAATTCCAGAGAGGTTTGAGCATCCTGCTGCAGGTTAGAGTCGACTGTACATATGAAGAGTCGACTCTTAAACCTCAAAGAGTCGACTATATATGACCAACATTCGACTCCCAAATTCGAGAGAGGTTTGAGCATCTGCTGCAGGTTAGAGTCGACTCTACATATGAAGAGTCGACTCTAAAGCCTCAAAGAGGCGACTATATATGACCAACATTCGACTCCCAAATTCCAGAGAGGTTTGAGCATCTGCTGCAGGTTAGAATCGACTCTATACCTAAGAGTCGACTCTACATCCTCAAAGAGTCGACTATAAATAAGCAACATTCGACTCCCAAATTCTAGAGAGGTTTGAGCATCCTGCTGCAAGTTAGAGTCGACTCTATACATTAAGAGTCAACTCTAAATCCTCAAAGAGTCGACTCTAAATCCTCAAAGAGTCGATTATAAATAAGCAACATTCGACTCCCAAATTCCAGAGAGCAGGGGAAGTTCCCCGTGCTGCGTATAGTCGATTGTGTTCTTTATAGAGTCGACTCTTAACCTATAAGAGTCGACTCTAATATTAAAAAGTCGACTAAATGTCAAAAATTACAACAACTTTATATGAAATATACATATATTCGTTAACACATATTTTTAGATAATTTTGTATTTTAAATTATATATATTAATAAAAAATATAATTATATTAATTA